TAAGCCTGTAAAGCTTAGTTTCTGCAATTAACAGTGTTGTATGAAGGCCAGGCAACCAGTTTGCAGAAGTTAGTAACATGGTATGTTTCTTTTTTAATGTTTTGTGTTAGGTGATAATATCGAAACTTATCAATGAATAACATATGCCACATGTATATTTTATTCGTACATCCTGGTCGTTGTTGGAACTACAAATTATGTTACAGTTCTTTTCATTGGCAGTTTCGTGACATTTCTGTTCTAGATGTATATAGATATTCATCCACATCAATAACAAACATATCAATAGACAAAGTAGGATAATTGAAGTCACGGGCGTCGGGGGGGGGGGGCAATTGCTTCCATGGAATTTCAGAAGAAAAGTTATTTGAATAATTTATTTTAAAAGGTTACAGAAAATAATGCTATTTAAATAAAAACGACGAAGTTAGGTGTATATAAATAAGCCATAATCAGCCAGAGCATCGCATTCAAACTTCAAGGCAATGGCTTCCGCTCTACGATGGCTACCAGTTCACTCACAAAATATAAATTGCAATCCTATTTTCTCGCTTCCCAATTTGCTTATGACCATCGCCATCGTTTTTATCATCGTCTGGTTCAATTCCACAATACCACAGAATAGCGTCATTTGCTTTTCAAAAATTTTCTGGGGAAACCCACAGCAAACAAGAACGTTCCCCCGTGTTCGCAGGTTGTGAGCTTGAGGGCGCCCATAACTGACGTTTTATTAATTCTGTTCTTTATCTTGAAAAAGTTCTCAATAAGAGCAAACGTTGGCATATTTCACCTAATTACCGATATACAAAGAGACACCATCTTGCATGAAAGCCACGGTGTCTTTTATATTTCGTTACTGCAGCATGTGAACCACATTGGTTGTAAGCATTGCCATGTAGTACCGACTGTGCATGTTTGCAGTCCTTGTGATGATGGTGGTTCTTACAAAAAAAAAAAAGATCCAATAAAAAATGGCAGCCGTGCAACCACACCAACTGCCTTCTTAGTATCGTGGAGGTGTGTAGGAAATGACATTATATATAATGTAATAGTATGTTTTCTCAGCCTGGGGCAGTTTTTACTACATTGTTAATACACTGGCTGAGCAAATTTTGTGATCAACGCCTTCTGGAGACGTCTTTCCCATCATCTCATTAGTTCACCTATCAAATGTTATAATTGTCTAATAATTAGTTTTCGAATAATCGACGTTCGAATATTAAGCCAATTAACTTTATAATCACCTTATATTTTGTGAGTATTAACACACAACTTTAAGACATATAGTGAGAATTCCTTTATGTTTTCTTTGGTAATGTAAGAAATAAAAATGACATTTTAAAAATCTATCTAGTTTCACATTCGTCAAACATTTATTATGTAAAAAGTACGATCGCTACGTAAAAACTTAATATTGCCACTATTCATATATTGTTCTTCGAAGCTATTGCGATTCGTAATGTGCTTTTAGAAATAGTGTTAATAAAGGTGAAATTATTTTTACATGAACCACTGTAGCATCCAAGAAGACTAGAAGGGTTCACACTTCCAATAAGTAACGAAAAAGGGCACCTTCTACCTCATGTTCCACATCGTCCACATTCCGCTTGGGGTCACTTTCATGGAACATGGAATATCTCGTTTAAAGGTCCAGGTAATAACATATGAATTGTATTGAATAGTTTTCTTTTTTCAAACCAATATCACTGCATTTATTAGGAACTTAGAAAATATTATTACATACTTCCTGGTTATTTGAAAGTTCAAAGTTTTTCTTTTCTTTCAACACAGGTCCTCAAAAAGGTGACTGTGTTAAGCCAGGCATTTGGATTGTAAGAGCAAACAGATCTAAGTGGGTTCAAGCTGAAGCCACTCATACTTCACTGATGCGTCCACAAAGTGCGCCACCTGGCGTGCATCACCCAAAATCTACTGATGCTTCTCAAAAGAAACGTTCTGTCAGCTGTACGCGATTCCATAAACACCACGTGCATTCAAAAACCAATAAGAATTAATGAGAAATTCAAAGAATTGTGCGGCACATGCGACTTATTCGTTATAACCAAAAATAATACTGATTTACTTTGATAATCTTTATGAGGTCTTAAAAATTTTGAAAAACTTGTACTTTCACTTTAAATCATTTCTTACTTTTCAAATCAATCATGCAGTGAAAGAGTCATGACATATTAAACGATCTGTCTGTAGTATCATTATAATATATCTAATGTGTTCAACTGTGAAAATAAATATGAATTATCTAGTTAATTTTTCTTCAACTATTACTTGAAGTAGTCATGCATACTAGTGTTTGCTACCCGCTTTATTCATTACAGTGAACTCAAAATGTTCACATATATAGATTTAAAATGGAACGTTGGTCAAGGAAGTGACTAGATTGCTTTTGCCCTAGTTACCGATTGTTCTGGATTATTGACTTGTGTGCCCTCTTGTAGGAATGATTCTGTAAAACTGAACATACTGTATGAAATTAGATAGTGATCTTTTCCACTGGTGGGTCAGGTGATACCTTGAGGATACAAAGTCCTATATGTTTTGAATGGAATGACCAACAGTAATGCAGGTAGGATATGCATCCTTAAAAGGATATATATATATATATATATTACTATGTTTTCTTAGTTTGTGGCAGATTTTTAGGATTTTCATAAACTTTCAGCATATCTTTCTAAGAGTTTTTACTTCCCAGTAAAGATGCTGTCTTTCATCACGTTTGTCACCTTTAATTGTGTTTTGCTGAAACAAACAAGAAAAAGGATTGTTTCACATTGTTATATACTGTGGCCAGTCTTTTTATTCTTCACAACAAATTCAAAGTTGAAGAATATAGTTTAACTCTGCATAACATTTTCCACTCAACCCTCCTGATATTCAATGGATCCTACTCTAATTACTATAAATGAAATGAGAATACCACGTATAAACTTTTCAAGTTGAGTATCAAGTAATGAGTCGGGCGTGACCTAGTAGTTTGTATGCTCACATTGTGAATCCAATGGCTAATGTTTCGTGACTCATTGCTGCAAAATCATTCTCCACATATTGGAGCCATGGGTGCATTATAAAACTAACGATCAAATTCAACTATTCAGCCACAAAAGGGTAGCTCAAGAGTTGGAAGTGAGTGCTGTTGACTAGCAACTTTCCTTCTAGTCTATAAGTTCAACATTAGAGACGGCAATGCACGGACGGCCCTTTGTTTAACATTATGCGAAAAGTCTGAAACAATCAAATCAGTAAGATGTAACAGTCATGAAATTCTCTTAGTACTCACTGGTTCTTTTTGCGAAGTTGGTACCAAGTTCCGTATTTTTTTATTTTTTATTTGTATTTCTTGCAAGTTCAATCTGAAAAGTTCACGAAGAGTTACTATTAACTTGCAGAAAACTCGATACCCCATACACTGTAGCAAGTCCCGCGGTGGGACAGTGGTAAGTTTACGGACTTACAACACTAAAATCCTACACTAAATAGATTATGGAAAACATCAGGAAGAAGAGGTACCCTTTGAACATGACAGATTTACCGTGGAGCCTTTTGCAATAAAAACTACATGAGAAGGTTATTGTCAATATGCATAGTCATCACACAGAACATGGCCAGACGTTGCAACATGGCCTGTAATCAAATCAACATCTGTACTGTGTATGTGTGTGTCAAATTAGTGGACAAAACAGCAAAGTATTGATACAGAAGAAACACTGTACAGGGAAAATGGCAGAACCCACTTGACATCTCGGGGAAGGAGTGGACTGATTAGTGTCATTGATATCTACTCTGTTTCTATCTAATCACACAAGAGAACAGATTAACATAACAAAGCATAAAAGAACACCATACTTCTCGTGCGCGACGTATATTACCATAATTATGAATTACTCTTCGTATTATGAATAAATAGAAGGCATACTACAGCTAGCTCGAAGAAGTCAGAGAAACCAATAAAACCAAAAGACGGCTATATATGAACTCTTCATAAATTAAATTTTATTACTTCATATTGTAAGTTATATATATATATATAACTTACTAATATATTAAAAAATAGTCACAATAAATTACAAACTATATAATTCTACGTTTGAGTAACAACAAATGTTACAATGAATTTAACAACGGAAATAAATCATGTAAATACTCTGACAAAAAGAAGACTTTAATTAAATGAGCGACATAAAAATTAATGTCATTTGAGTTTAAAAATAAATTACTTTTATTTCGTGAAAAATAATACTTTTTAGTTTGCTTTGTCACGATCCAGGCAATCAAACCAGTTTAAAATATAAACCATGGTCACTTTTAAAAAAGACTAACTCTTCGAACATAATTCAATGTAATAGATGCTAGTAGAGTCACTGTGTATGCATACATGCACAAAGTACTGTGATAACCAAAAATGCGTAACTTCATTTTAAACTAATCACACTTGATGAAAATGTATTTAAACAAACAGAAATAAAAAAGCGAAATCACTAAGAAATATTTTTTGCAAGATCTTGCACATTTTATTTATTAATTATAGTTGGGTTCAGAAACTACATAATTTTTACTGTATTAATCTAAATTTTAGAAATGGTTTTAAGCCCCGTCCCCCACCCAAGTGGCACAGCGGTATGTCTGCGGACTTACACTGTTGGAAACCTGGTTTTCATACTCGTTGTGGGCAGAGCACAGATAGCCCATTGTGTAGCTTTGTGGCTACAAACAAATAAACAATTCTGAGCCTCAACGCGGAGAAATGTGGTATCCCGCTACCCTTGGGTTTATCATTAACTGTGAGCCTTCTTTCAAAGATCTAGCCAAATTAGTAAATATTTTTTACATTGGTTTACAAACAACAAATAATTTATTGGTTATAGATTAATAGTTTTGAAAAACGTTGACATAGAATGACTATAAGTTTAACACAAAGACTGTGTAAACAGCAGTTTCAAAAAATAATTGTAGACAGTTTTGAAAGTTTATCTAGAGTTATCAGAAAGCATACAAAATTGCTTGTCACTTAGCTAAGCTGAATAAGAACTATACTGATTTTATTAAGTTATTTGCTACTACTAAGAAGCAGAAAATTTTTAAAAAGTAACCACTAGGGTTTATCTATACTGTAAACTAAAAATATATACAATGAAGGAAGTGTATACTTAGTAATAATGTTAAAATGTATAAACTTGACTGAATAATTTCGCTAAAGTATTACGAGCAGTAAAAATATTTTTCTTATAAAATTTTTTAATACTGAATTGAATATTCGCACGGCTCATTCGTCAGGCTTTCATACGGTATGAAACATATTGACAACGTAGCACATATAACGTCGCCAACCGAAATCTGTAGTATTTTAGACAAGGGATCAGACAGTGTTTATTCATCTTAGTTTATTCAGGATATTATTCACAGAAATTACTGAAGAAGCCAGGTCTAGTAAGCTAGTTCAGTTTGAACCACAAAGATTATAAGAAACCCGATAAAAAATCGGTTAAGTGCTCTAAACAGTTTAATAGCTCATTAGTTTACACTAATTAAAGTGATATATCTAATCGTACTGTAAGAAAATATATTGGTACTGCATATTATTAATATTTTCGGTTGTATTTCCAGGTAATTATTAAAATTATTTCATAATAAACTGTAACTTTATCTACTTACGTATGAACATTAGCATTAAACTATTTCTTAATACATGCGTTAAAATGTTTATGCTATGGAATATGATGCAACGGTTTATAAACACTAGAGAAGAGCATAGAGAAATCACCAATTTTAGGGTTAAAAACAACTCGTGTGGGATGGTATTAAAAAATATTTTCTTTGGAATTCAAGCAACAATAATTCTTGGTATAGCGTATGCGAAGCATAAGCATTTTAAGAAAGAAACAACAGCTGTCGTGTGCGATGACTCACATGATCCTAACGATAATGTAATACAACAAGAATGGATTCAATGCATATCTTTGTCCTGTTGGTTTTTGCGAAGGGAACAGATTGGAAGTTTTCTCTGTTCTTTGATAAAAATTTTAATATTTCATTATCCCTTGAAGTCATGTCCTAACGACTTTTTTATTCAGTATTATCACCCGATATTCATAGTTCAGTTTCATTATTGAAGTTAACGTTCTATGCATATCCCAGATAAAGAAACTGTGTATACAGGTTATTTGTTATTAATAAATACTATGCATATACCTTTAAATGTCCGATACTGTTAAATATATGTAAGATATTGTTACGACAGCAGAATTCACGTGACGCTGGTAACACGTCATGAGATTCTAGAAGGATCATGAAGGCCCGAGCGTTTTCTAGGCGCCCTCTATTTTAATATATAAACCCGGCAAATAAAGCGGAGAGCAGAAGTGACGGCATAGATAATTGCAGAAAGAGAGATATAGCGACAGATAATTGAGTCAAGTGAGCGGTAGTGACCGTAAGTAAAATGCGTGAATCGTTGTGAATTATAACGTGTGTTTAAGTTAAAGTGACTGTGGAAATTCTGTGTATTGCAAAGTTGTATTGAGGAAGAATAAACTAGTTTTATTTAAGAAAGGACTTGTATCGCTGAAGTTCCTCGGGAAGAATTTTTACGGGTAATTAACAAACGACCAGAGACGTAACAATATTAATACAAATTCCTTCATCTTTACATTATATGCAACATATTTGATCGTGGCTGTGAATTTCGAATTGCATAAAACGCATTGCTGACACCAAATGAGAAACCAAGATTTCAGTGACTTTTTACGTTGTAGTTAGCAAACTCAAATTAATACAACAATTCATCAATAATGTAATATCATTTTAATAGACGTGCTGTGTGGTAACACTTTTTTTTGCGAAATAATTTTGCACGAGGTCACGACAACTATTTCTTCAATTAACCTTTCACATTCAGCGTTATTGTCTACAAATAAACACTCGATTATATCACGTACTTTATTTATCATTGGCGTCGTTGGTAAAACAATAAAAAATATTTTCAACAATGGTTCAGTCATGGCCTAGTGGTTAGCCTGCCGGACTGATTTCAAGGGTTACAATTCGCATCTCGTTTCCGGAAATTCGTGCTCCGAACTTTGGGGTTGTGGGTGCGTTAT